GCACAAATATTAGTTAGACAGAGTTCAAAGGTCAATAAAACAATAAAATTTATGTATAAATAGATGTATACTGTTACAAGTTTAAAGCTATTTAGGATAAACAAATGTACTCTAATAATACAATTTAAAGTCATTCTAGAAAAAAGGGTAATTTCGATTTATTTTGATTTTCTATTGGTGGTTACAAGGTCATTCAAATTGACCAACCATGTGTAAATTTTGGGTATAGAAAATAACAGATAAAATTTTACCAAAAAAAGCATTTGAAATTTATTTAGGAGGTTTTAGAGATTACTCAAATAAAATGCAAGATTTTTCATACAAAGAAAGGTTTTTTTTTTAATCTTAACATGAAAATCATTTTGCACTTGGACTAGTATATAAAAATATTATATATATTCATGGACAAATATTTAGTAAAAATACTTCATGAAAAAATCTGATTTTGGTGTACAACAGCTTTGCAATGTTTACTAAAAGTCTGCCAAATTTTGCGAAGATACACAAAGTGTATTAAAGTTATAGTATGGAAACTATAACAAGTACAAAATGGTTATAAGATTGGTTGATTCAACCAACCATGTAGCGAGAGAGTTAAAGCAATAAATCAACTGGTAAGAGTTTAGAACAAATGAGAGTTAAAGAGCTATTGAATTACATCATTTGACAGCAGCCATTGTGCATTCCCAAAGAAGAGATTTTTTTCATTTAAGTTTTCTTATCTAATGTAATAAGCTCTAATTTTGACATTTTATTAAAAAAAAACCATATAACAAAAAATAAAATATAAACATAAAACATTTAGCACTTTCTTTAAGCCTTGAGTCTTTTTATATATGTGTGCATGTCTATTTTTTCACTATGTTGGTCTTTAAAAAATATTTCATGCAGCTTTCAAAATATGCATTTTCGAACACAGACATTAGAACAGGTTGTCCAAAAACTACTATAATTTATCTGGTTTTCTAACTTACCTATAAGTAAGCTAAAACTTTCATAACTTCTCAAAGCAATGTCTTTAGTCTTAAACACTCCAAGCTCTCACAGTGAAATATAGGATTTTACCACTAAGACAAACATGCAGTTTATGATTTGCTTTTTCTGTTGGTTAGAAACATGTCTAATAACAATGTATAAGAAAATTATAGTTATATTTTATAAGACAGAGGGTATGAGAAAAGCATATCCAAATATCCAAAAATAACAAATATTGTGATATTTCAGTAAATCAAGAAGAGGTTGAAATTTTATATCCTGGTTCTTCAATATGTGACTAAAGTGATGAAGATTGAGAATTCATTTAAATATTTTCTTTTGATATTAAGAAACTAAAATTCGGACTACTTTACAAGTGAATTATAAAAAATTTTAACGCCAAGTTTTTTTAAACACAGATTGAGAATAAAGTAGTTAGATTAAATTTTGAATACAACTCTGTAAAAACTTTGTGAAAGATTCAAATTAACCCTCCTGTATTCATATAGTTAGAAGTTTAATGGTGTTATTGTTCTCACACTTGTTTGAAGCAGGCAAGGTTTAAAGTATTGTTGTTGTGTTATTGTTTTTAGTAACATTGGCTCCACTACTTAATGTTTAAAGATTTTTTGATCAAATACACGTAAGGTCTTGGATTTCACATTTAGTATTTATGTATAGATTAAAGTAACAAGATATCTAACTTAACATTATGTATGTTTCACTTAGCATTTTCTTTTACTTCATCTCATTTCTTTAACCTTATGGACACAGAACTGATGTATTTCACTATCCATTTTGCTTTGAAGCTATACACAGTTATATTTACTATAATTCCATATTTACTAAGTGTATCTTCATGAAATTTGGTACACTTTTAGTAAACATTAGAAACCTGTTGTACATAAAAAAATCAATTTTTAATAAAGTATTTTCATAGAAGGCATGTCTGAGAATTAAAAATCTTTTACAGAGTCATTCTGTTCAGAATAAAAATACTTATTTTCATCTTAGTTTCATATTTCATTCGCATAACCTCTAGAACTCTCTGAATGAGAATTAAGTTTTTAAAAGGTAAAAGTTTGTATTTTGTGTTATTTTCTCTATCCTAACATTACATAGTAGCTGAATCATCAGTGCATATTGAAATGAAATTTTGAAATTCATGAAATTAAATGAACATACATATTTCTTCTTTAAATAAATAATTTGTTGTCATATCTTTAGTTGATGATATTCACAATTTTAACTGTGTACTTTACACATAGCTTATTCAGCTCTCAATGCACTCGTGTATCTAAGTCTTGTTAAAATTTTCTAACTTCTTTCACGAAAAAAAAAAAAGTTGTGCACCTTTCAAATATGCAATTAAAACAACAACTACACAGTTCTCTAAAACAGAATGTCCAAAAACTATAATTTTTAACGTCTTTTTAATTAAGCTATAAATAAGTTTAAAAAGTTATTAAATACTATAAGCATTAACTTTTTTTGCCAACAAGCCCATAATCAATTCTCACAGTCTAACATATATTTCTGTAAATTTCAAAAGAAGCATTGTATTTTAGAAATAGAAAATAATATTTTTCTATTGGTTATAAACATAATCATGGTTCTGAAAACTGCTTGAAATCCAAAGATAGATGGGAAGGGACCTGTCACAGGTTGGGAAAATTCAATGAAATCTCAGCAAATGGAGAAGTTAGGGCATTAAAACTGTACCTTGGATCTTGGAATTATTTATAGATTGTATCTACACTGCTTAGGCAGTGTAGATGCTGTACTATTTAAGTCATACAAACTAAAAGGGGAGAATTGAGAGAGCTCACACATCACTGTGACGATCGAGAATTATTTAAATATTTTCTTTTGAAATTAAGAAATTAAAACTTGAGTGATATAAACATTTTAATTATAAACTACATTCTGATGCTAATTTTATTGACAAACATTGATTATATATTTGCTCAATTAAATTTTTAATGTAACTAAAATGTTCTGACATGCAACAGAGCCTAGCCTGTACTTAATGGGTTAACTCATAAGCAGGACTTACATTCACTGACTAGAGCTTTGTTTTTCTATTAATTCTACTGATACAAGACTGGTAACTTTGAGAGACCTTGTACTATGAAAGTATCCATACTATAACTTTTAATATAGTAAATATATCTTAACAAAATTTGTCAAGCTTTTAGTAAACATCACAAATCTCTTGGACAAAAAAATCAGCTTTTTTAATCAAATATTTTTACAAATGATTTGTCTGAATATATTGAGTCAGAGTATGAATCAGACACTGACTAGCCTGAAAGCAAGGTGATTTTCATGTTAAGATTAAAAATACTTTTTCATCTTACAGTTTTCAAATTCTATTTGCATAGCTTCTAACACTTCCTAAATGTACATTAAGTTTGTTTGTTTTTTCCAGTAAAACTATATTCTATGTATTATTTTTTCTATCCTAACACTATATTGGCTAAGTTGATTTGACCAGCCTTGTAATCACAGCAAAAATATGCATATAAATCTAATCTGCACTTTTTTCTTTCTAGAATGACTGCAGATTTTAACAGGAAATTATAGTTATTTATTCGAAATAGCTTAGGGCTTGTGACGGTTTAAAACTTTTAATGTTTTATTGCTCTCTGAACCATGTTTAACTAATAATCCTGTGATACAGGCTGTAAATTAAACATCATATGCAGTACTCATATTGTAGTAATAAAAGATGTCATGCAGTAGCTATTCTTGATAAAACCCTAGAGAAAAATATTTTCATTTTTTTTTTTATTATATAAGCTAAAACATTCTAATGTTTAAAATTTTAGTTACTTTTATAACAATAGATACAAAATATACATAGAATAACAAGAATTTAGTACTTAAATTTGGCCTTTTTTTTGCTGTTGGCCTGCCGATGAAACTTAAGCCTACTTTTGTGTAATGATGATATAATTTTAATAATAGTACATTAAATAATTTATACTTTCAATATTCAGTTATGAATACAAAATAATAACAAGCATAAAGTAAAAAAATGTCCAAAACTATTATAATTTAAGTGACTTTCTAACTAAGGCAGAAGCGCCTTAAAATAATTCTCTGAGATGCTCAATCTGAATTTGGAGAAAGCATCTTTAAAATTGTAAGTAAAATAATTAAAAATATTTACTGAGAACAATGCAGCATTATACATCATTTGGTATACTAAAACTTTGTTTTATATTAGTTATAAATTATGTAATGGAAAATGACAAAGATAATGTAGCAAGAGTGTCCAACTTTCTGGTTCACATCTCCATAAACAAAGAAGACCGAAGGCTATAAAAATTAGACTGTCTTAGTAATATCTATATTACAATGAGTAATTTAGGTTAAACTCAAAATACCATACAAGGGTAATGAAAAAAAAATATAGAAAATGGGCAAGTCGGAGTGAACAAATGTCATGTTACACAGATAAGAGAATATTGAGAATTTATTTAAGTATTTCTTTTGAAATTAAGAACTTAAAATTTGTATTAAAATTTGACTTATTAACTATGTTTTGATGCCAACTTTATTCCTATACAATGATGATAAAGTAGTTTAATTAAGTTTAAGTAGTTGATTATATTATAGTACATTGTTTATTTATATTGTTGATTGTGAAATTGATAGTAAACATTTGTTCTTTGTTTAAATCTGTATCTAGTCTCTTTTTGGTTACTTAACTGTCACAACTTGGAATAAAAACACATAAGCCCAAGATCCAAAACCTTCCAGTTATTAAAAAGCCTAACTTTTCTATGCTGCTGGTGGTTATCCATAAGATACCACAATAGATAATCTATTAAGACAAGCTGTTGATAAATTTTTGAAATTCAATAATTTGCACTAATTTGCAGAATCTGGCAATCAGGAAATTAAGAATTCACCTTCTCCTTATAAGTTACAACAGTTTAACTTTTCCAGGACACTGAGATATGTTAGTTAGTTGTTGAATTGTATGAATAGTAAAATGTTAATAGCTTTATGATGAAACAGTGTACATATTGTTGTCAGTTGTGTTAGTAAGTTGACTCTTATCTCTCATTATAATCAGCAAAGTGTGAAAAAGCATGATATAAATAAAAAGTGAATTTTCATCTGAATCATTAAAACATTTGTTTATCAAAGTTAAGAGCTAAAACAATGTGTAGTTTCAAATCGGGAATTTGTAAACTATATGTATTTTAGCAGAAACTGTAAGTACCTTTCTATATATATATTCTGGTTCTAATTAATCTCTAGTTGATATGAAAACCATACGTACTAAAGTTGCTATTTCTCTGTATACTGACTGGTAGGCTGTAATCTACAAATCATAACTATGCCAGCTCATTACTCTAATGTCTTTTGTTGATCTACAGATATGTATTGTTTCCACTATGACACTTAGACAACAGCATTCCAGTATTTTGCTTAAACAAGTGAATAACAGGTGATCCACATTCTTTCAGATGTTTTTCCAAAGTAAAATAAGTGATGTAAAAACTAGTACAGTTTTAGAACAAAACTAATTTATAACTTCAACTTTAGGGCATACATACCTGAAAGATGTCATTACTCCATTAGCTAGTGAAGAAAGTCGTCCCGCTACCTTGGTAACCCCATCTTTTACTCCTTCTTTTATGTCATACAGGTTAGGAGCATTGTAGCTGCTTCCTTTTGCAGCTGATGATTCACCAAAATAGTCAGAACTAGAGATACTACTAGAGCCCTCAAAACGTGAAAGTTTTTCTCTGCATTCAAACTATTAAAATGAAAACTATCTTAAAAATTGAGGACTGAGACACAGTATAAATATTTAATGTATTATTAAAAGTTGTCTTCTACACCTGAACACAGTAATTACAGCTGCAAGTTTATCATAATACATATAAAATACAAAAAAGTATACATATCAAGCCCCAAAGTTTTGTATTTGTTGTATAATTTGAAAAAGTTATGAAAATACATTTGTAGTTTTCAAATATACATTTAATTCATCATTTAACACTGATAATCTTCAAAAAGACAGTGAAAGGCTAATATAAAATTAATGGATTTACACACAAAAGTAAAAAAAAAAATTACTTGAATCCAAAATGTCACATGTAAAAATGTATATCTATTTTGTGTAACATTTTGTATTATGTGAAACCCTTCTTTCAAGTAATACATTTTATAGTTTTAGTTACATTAAACTTTTAATTACTACACTGCTATCTCATATCTTCAAAACTTCTAATGTGGTATGAATATAAAATTTCCTAAATGGTTTTAAGTTATATTGGTTCCACCACTAAGTTGGCATAGAAGAATATGCTAATTTAAGATCTACAACATTCTCAAGTGTTAAGAAGTGTGCCAACAGTGAAGAAAAACTACATATTAAGGACAATATTTTGATTAATAGACTAAAATCATAGTATAATGATTAAAACAGTGCAGTTCAGTTATCAGTAAACACTTTTCATCTTTTATAAGTTTAATATTAAAATTATTATTTATATTTACTATACTACTAATCAACATATTTTTAAAATTTAGAAATGTAGTAAAATAAAATAATATTATCTGAAACATAAACTTACATTTGAATCTCTACTGTTACCAAAAAACTGGTCTGAAGAGATGGCCTTGGCATTCCCAAATTTCCGTTGAGCTTCATCTCCAGAAGGCACAGAGCTCAAAGCAGCAGCAGTACTTCTTCGACTTTGAGTACTACATACACCACATTTGTTGTAAGAACACAATGTAAATACACCAATTTTAAATTTCATACTGCATTACTTGATAATCATTCATGCCCACTATTAGATAGGCAACATATCCAAGTGCTGAAGTTCAGTTAGAATCATAATATTTAGAAAAACATTCAAGTATATAATTGTTTAAAATAAAAAAAAATAATTAAAATATTAATAGTAAATAAACCTTGAAAACGTTTCAACATTTTTAAATGACTTCTGTTGAAACTGTATTAACTCTATATTACATTAAGACAAAACAAATCAATAAAAAAGCTATGATTACTCTGCCAGAGACAGTCTGTATCTTCTAATTCAAAATACTGAACCCCTTTTCCTAAAAATTAGCTTTCCAAAAATATAAATATACAATAAGCTAAATGGCATGGAATAAAAAAAAAATAGCAATTTCCATTTTTGTTGCAAAAAAATTAATTTTCATTAGCATTGTATTGTGTATGATTTCTTTTAAAACCATTCAAAATTCTCAGGAACTGAATGTATTTTGATATATTTATAAAGCAGATCCTGTTTCATGGTGGTTCCAGAAGGAGTAGCTCCTTGTTTTACATTTATTAATTTTTAATGTTTCAAATAATAAACTAAACTAAGTTTAAGAAGAAAAAAAAGTATTAACCCCTACAGCATTACACATCTATATAAATACTTAAAATTACAATTTGTGACATTTTTTGGCCCATTTGTTAATTACTGTGATTACTAGCATTTTAAAGTTATTGCTTAAAAGTTAAAACCTCAATCACCCTCAAATTATGCTGTTCTTTATTTAACTTCAGAAAACTTTTAATTTTTCTCTTTAATTATAGCTGAACTACTGTTGCTCAGTTTATAGAAATTCTCATACTAAACACAGCAAGTTACTGAATAACATGATAATAAGGTCTAAAAAACACAAATCAAGCTGCATCAAAGTGACGTCTAACTTGCAAAAATAATAGTGCATTATATATATATATATATAAATAAAGATAATAAAAAATTTTGTGCATTCCTCATGGTTCTACTTTTTTTTTATTCATTAAGAATCAGACTTTTATTAAGTACTTTTCGCACAGTTATTTCCACAGCCTTTTCAAAAGGGAGCATTTGTTGGCAGTGAACAGCGTTACATTGACTTTGATAAGCATGACCAAAAATTATCATATTAAACATTATGGTTGGGTAATTAATCTATTCTTTAAACAATTCCTACACAAGTACTGCAGTTAGCCCAGGGTATTGTTACAGATGTTAGTGTTATTAATTCTTACCTAAAAGTCTGATTTGTGACTTAAATAAAATTAATAACTATTAAAAATCACTTATGTAATCTTCATGTTTCATATTGAATTGCTCAGATCAATTTCAAGCAGTTTCTAAGTGCTCTCAGAAAGTTTTTCAATCACTGAAGAACTTAGTAATTTTAACAGTGAAACTTTTTAAGATACCTTCGGTAATCCTGAGAGGGTTGGGAATATTTGGACGTACCTTACATTTCAGGTAATCTACCTTGACAGCAGCAGAGAAAATGAGGTAAAGGTGCAGAATGTGGTGGAGACTGCTGTTCAGAGTATTCCAGACGTGGTTGCTTACCTACAAGCTGTTTATTATTTTATTTTTATCAGTATTTGGGATATCCATAACATAAGTAGAAAGATTCAGTGGCCACTGACCCCACCCACCATGGGGTTCTACAAGGGGATGCACTACAATGGCAAACAAGGACACTGCAGCAACACCAGGGTTTCGTGAGCACTATACCCAAACATGAGCATCAGACACAATGTCCACAACACCCATTAAGAATGCCCAACACTGGCCCTTTTTGAAGGGGGGGGGGTAAACTGAAAATATAGAACCTCCCTGGGAGGACTCCACCTGATGAAAAAGTAGTTAATATTGTGTGAATAATTAAGTATCCTTAATCCATAATCGTGTTACTGAATTTAAATTTCAATTTAAATAAAATTCCACCTGAAACTAGAATCCATTTAAAATTGCAAAAAAAGTTAATTTTATTGTCATTGTGTTACATTGAAATGTTTGAGTAAAACTGAACTCCAAGGAATGTGGCATCCACTGAAACTGTATTACATTTGTTACCCCAGTCACCAGAAAACTTACCTACTGTCGTCACGTGTTAATACAGTGTCTGATAAAAATGATTTTTCACCATCTCTATCTATATCCCAAGATGGTTTGCTGCTAAAACTCTTAAAATCATCATCTTTGCGGGACAAAAAGGGACTGTCTCGGTACCTGAAATAATAAAGAAAAACTATTCACAAATATATATCAAATGGAAAAATGTATACTTGCTTAAAACAAAGAAAGACCCCATAAAATATTACTTAAATGACATAATTACTTGTTAGTTAAAAAAAATTTTCTTTTCCTTTATGGAAGTCAACCTTTTTTACTCATATGTATAATACTCTTTCAACCTAAGCAATTGCTAGATATATGCACTTCAATGTTCACAAGGAAATAATTGGAACTTCACATAGAAAATGTATTTAACATTTCCTCTGCTACATATTCTGTCCAGCAAACAAAATAATACATGGAGAGAGCAACACGTGTCATGGTAACAATAGACTGTGCCCCTTGTTTGAAGAAAATAATATGTTTCCCATCAATTTTTCTTTCTGGAATGCATTTTAGCTTCAAATTCATTTAGTAAATTACTTCCATTTCAAGGACATTTCCTACACTTATCACAGTTTTTTTTTTACAATGGTGACTATGAGAAAGACAATGTCATCATAAGAAACAATTTTGTTTTCTGCTTATGTGGAAGTAAAAGCTACTTACATTACTACAGTAATGTCTCCTTTCAGACAAAAACTCAATGTAAGGACCACTAATGAAAAATTAGAGGGGGAACTTTGTTGTTTATTTAATCCACCAAAACTTCAGTCAATCATAGTAACAATCTTGTAATCACTGGCCTTAGCTAAGTCATGCTATAATTAATCAGGTACACTAATTATGATTTAAGTAATCCTTTACTGGAGCAAAATTAAACATATTCTGACAAACCAATCACTTATACAGATCACTCATACACAGATTTGATTTTTCCTTAGACAATACCTTTGTGCTACCCTTACCTGCTTGAATACTGGGATTTCATTTTCACTATTATAGTACACCTAAACCCCAATGTACACATAATCATTTTTTTGGTAATGGAATGTGAACTATGAACCCTCAAATTCAATGTGTTATGAGGCCAAATGTAATTTTTTGACCTGAAAGTATAATAATAATAATAATAAAATAACAATACAAGCTAAACATTCACTGTTGAACCTTCTTTAAACACAATAAAATGGGCTTTGCTATTCAAGAATTGTATGCAACATAATTAAATAAGAATAAATGTTTAGTTGTTTAGCCTTAACCATTATTAACTAGTACTTACTTTGGTGGTCCAGAGGTGAACCCAATAAACTCAAATTCATCTTCAAAGTCATGGTCTTTATCTTGTTTAATGTTAGATGTAGGTAACTCTTGCTGAATAGTTTTCATATCTGAGAGAGCTGAATGAGAGACTGTTCCTCCTCCAAGCTGACCACCAGAAAACCCCATACCAAGTCTCTCAAACTGCTCAGCCTTGTGAGGGTCAACATGCTTTAGTATTTGTTCCGTTTGCTTTTGTTGAAGGCTCAAGTCCTTGTAAGCAAGTCGCATGGAGATACTTGATATATAGATTGAAATAGTTGAATCACACAGTTTTATGAGAACAGCATTACCCAAAATTTAATAAAAATATATTTAGATCTATATTTACCAGATAATAAATATTTACCCTTTAGATAATAAGCAATATTAGTTTGATAATCAAATTAAAAAAAATATTAACTACTGACAAAATCTTATATTTTGTTCAGCAATGTAATGAAACAATGTTGTATGCAGCACTCTTGTAGAGTACTGTCACTAAGTAGCTTAATCACTGTAACAATGTGCAACAAATTAATAGCAACCACTAAAGTATATATATATATATATATATATATATATATTTATATACACACACACATATATATATATTCAAAATCCTGAATACTTTGGCCTTAACCACTTACAAGATGTACATTTTTATATCTATTTTCCTGTATACACACACACACTAGATATAAAACTCTAGCCGAGTTAAGTTTTATATTGTACTGTCTTCATTTTTTTTCTTCTAAATACGTGTCAGTAGGCTAATATGATGTGCAAGTGTACTAAGTATGTGTGTGTGTATATTATTATTATTATTATAGCAAAGTCACATCAGGCTATCTGCTGTGTTCACTGAGGGTAATCAGACCCCTTATTTTAGCATTGTAAATCTGATGACTTACTGCTGTCCCACTAGGAGATGTGTACCAAGTAATTCATGAATCTAAGTTAATGTTTAACCTGTGAGTAATCATTTCCTGTATTTTTCTAAGCTAATTTTTTGGATTGTACAGATAGTTCATACTTATTATTATTCCAAATCAATATCATAGTCTGATAAATGAAGAAAACAAAAAAGTATATAAGCCTTGGCCTAACTACAGATACTATGGTTAGTCACAGTACACCACAATTTATGTACAACCACTACAACTGTGACAAACAAAGGTGAATAGGCAGCATCTGCCTAGTTCAGCATGCCAGTTATAGAGAAAGTCTAGGAGGACTAATATACAAAAGTAGCACAGATGGAAATGATCATGTTTCAAATGTTTTCTGTCTTTCATCTCCAAGTCAACTTGCATTGGTTTTGGCAAAACAATGACCTTCACAGGAGAAAGAGAAATTTCAATAGAATGTTAAAAAAAAGTTTAAAAACCAAGGCTTAATCAAAGAAAACACTATCAAAAAGCTAAGAACTAGGAGCAACTATCCTCCACAATTTTATGAATTACCTCTCAGACATATCATCAGTGCCATAAACTCACCTTACTATAACTTAGCTACCTTTTTTGGTACCTATCCTATCACCACTAAAGGGTAATACAGAACACCATGTCCACAATTCAAAACATTTTAACGAACAACTTGGAGTCAAACATATCAGATCCAAAGATGTTCTCATCAGTTTTGACATCAGAAACATATTCACTAATGTCTTAAACTACATAAACCTGTTACATATCACCAAACAGCTACTGAATGATAATTCTCTTACATACAGAACTGATATGAAAACAGAAGATATCATGGAACCACAGTTTCTCTACAATCCTCATATTTTCAATAAAACAACAACATCTTTGAAAAAACAGATGGCTTTGCCATGGAATCACATTCTCTCCAGCTTTAGCAAACGTTTCCATGAAAGGTCTTGAACAAATAATCCTTTTCTCCAATGGAAAAAAAAAAACAAAAAAAAAAAAAAACAAGCTTTTACAGATGCAACACTAACAAAAGTTTTTTCTGGCTTCACAGTCATGAAAACTTACAAGCCTTCTTATAACACCATAACCCACTCACTATGGGTAGGTCAAAGTGTGCATGTCATTATCTTTTACATTTGCATCAAAGTTTAATTACTTTATTATCAATGTATACGAATAAACTTGACATCTAATTCAACTAATAAATCAAATTTTAAGTTCTTAATTTTATAAAGAAATATTTAGATAAAACTTCAATTTCCCTGTATGAGAATCATGACATTTTTCTCTAGTTTTTTCCCTTCTCTAATTTATTTACCACCCCTCTCTCAAATGCAGAATTTAACACAAATTACTTATTTTAATATTGATATTGCTGAGGCAAAGTCTAATTTTTATAGTCTTCAATCTTATTTCTTTATGGAGTCATAAACTAGAAAATCAGACCCACTTGCCACACCCACCTGTCATATTCTCTCTTTCACAAATTGCCAATAATTCTCTTCGATGTTTTATACTATATCATTTATAGCCAAGAGAAAAGCAAAGTCTTAATCTATCAAATGACGTATAATATTACATGAAATTAATTTAAACTCCTCTTATTTTAGTTAAAAAGCCAAACATAAGTACTATATTTCTTGTTTTTAACATATATTCTTTATTTATTGTTAGATAAGATAAAGTAAAATAATAATCATTCCTTCACAAGGTATGCTCACAAGTGAAGCAATTGGACATTTTTGAGGAAATTGTACAATTGCTTCATTCTTCTTTGTTTAAGAAAGAAACTTAAGTTTCTGAGTGGGTTGCATATACATGAAGAAATGGCACAAGTAAAGGATGCCTGTATTACGAAATTGGGTCAAGAACTAGGAAAAGCACAATTAGCTGGCTAGTTAGTATTGTGAATCATGAGTGAATATTATAGAAAAAAAAAAGAAGTTACAGTGAGGATGCTGAGAAAAATGCTAGTCACGAGTTTGACAGTAATAAGTTACTGACTCTGAGTTAGTAGCACAGTAAAGGCTACTAAAAAGTTTATGATAGCATCTAAAATCTTTACTTCAGCTTTGTGTAGTATATAAGTGAGAAGGCAACTGGAGTACTCACCATCACAGTAACAAATTACTTGAGAGTTTGGAAATGCCTAAGGAGTTGCAGGTAGTCAGGAATACTATTTGGAAAATCGAAAGAATACAGAGAAAATACAGAATAAAAACTTGTGTCTGGAGCTAAAAGTTAAGTTCTCCGGGAAGAATCGAGGTTATCCAAAGAGGTGATAACCAAGTCAGCATGAACATAAAGATTTCTAACCTCCAGAGATATACCAGTCCAACCTTGTTGTAAGTATAATATTGCTCTCTCTCTCTTATTCAATTAATGTAGTTTAATAAGGAAGTTAATGATTATAACAGGGAGAAATATTCTACATGTATTGATTAATAATGCTTAACTGAAAAGTGAAAGTTAGAATTGTTAAGAAACTAATGGTTTAGTACATGTTTAAAATGATTATAACAGTGAGAAATATTCTACATGTATTGGTTAATAATGCTTGACTGAAAAGTGAATGTTAGAATTGTTAAGAAACTAATGGTCTAGTAGATGTTTAACTGTTGATATTAAAGGTGTATACCGTGTGTAAAGACCTAGTAAATTTGATGTATTTTGTTCAATGTCAGTCTCAGAATCCGTTTCTTTAGTCTAACCGTAAACTACCTTGAGTTAGCGACTTGTAAGCTCCACTTGCCACTGCAATCCTCAATTAAATAAATTTGGTGTAATCGGCAGTACAGTCGAAGCTCCAACGACTAGCCCTAAGGGCACTGCCCGCTACACAAGCAGCATGTGCATTACGTGATTCAATACTGTAACATGAGCTACAAGTTTTCCAAGTGAGTTACAACTGGTGTGGCAGAATTATTAGTGAGACATGATTCAAGGTACAATAAAACAACAAAAATTGAGTAGAAACAGATGTAGACTGTTACAAGTCTTAAGCTATCTAGGATAAACAATTGTTGTTTCCTGCTACAATCTGCAGTATTTCTAGAAAAAAAAGAGGGGCAATTTAGATTTAATTCATATTTTTTATGGTGGTTCCAAGGTTGGTAAAATCAACCGAGTTTGTATTATATTAGGGTAAGGAAAATAACAAAATAAAAAGTTTCAATTAACCGTATCGCCCCAGATATTCTTTACTGCGCATGACACAAGGTTTTAGTGTCTTACGTTCCAATTTTTGTTGAACTACTGTTTGTTTATGTTATACCAATTAGAATAGCATAAAATCTTAGCTAATAATTCATATTTTAATAGTATACAAGTTTTAGGTTTTAACTTCTACAAGGAAATATACAAAAAAATTCCTGAATTTCCACTAGAGTAACCCAGGTAACATATTTTCTCTCAGCATGTCATCATTCCTATTTTATCCGCCACCCCTTGAAAAATTATGAAATTAAATGTAAATTACTCTCTATAAAATTGTTATCGCTCAGACAAACCATAATTTTTATAGTCTTTAATTTTGTTTGGTTACAGAGTTATCAAAGAGAAAATCCGACCCCTCCTGCCACATCCTCTCTTTCACAATTCATTGATAGTTCTCTCTTATGTTTCATTATACATTAACTATAAACAATATAAAGTTTTCAACTATGAAATGATGTATTGTATAACATTATGTTCTGAACAATTAAATTTCAATTTCATTCAGAGTATGAATATTGTTCCTGTGGAAAAGTTAATGACTAGCTTGGATGAATTTGTAATGGCTCCTATCGCATAGTTATAAAGCCAGAAAAATTTTAAGAACTAAGGAAATTTGATTACTTTTTGCATGTTATTAGTCTATATTCTTTGCTACATTATCTAATTAAATAAAAATTATTAAGTGCATTACTTTTAGTGCTTAACTGTCATCAACAATCAACAGCAAGAAAAAAAAGAAGATTGAGTAAATACTTTATTTCTTTTTCATATTTCTTCTTTATTTATTATTATATAAGTAACTAAAATCTAAAAATACAGATCTTTTTAAGTTATTTAAGACTAGATTAGGTAAAATAAGTAATAAAAAGAATATAATTAAGATGGTTCATGAGGCATGCACGCAAGCAGTTCGTAGTAGTTAGTGGGTGATGTAATTCAATAGCATAATGTGACCTGCACGTTCTCCGAGTGATTAACAACTTTTTATGGCATGGATATTAGTTAGACACAGTTCAAAGGGCAATAAAACAATAAACTTAATTATAAGTAGATGTATAATGTTATGAACTTAGAGCTACTTAGGATAAACGAATGTAGTTTCATGTTACAATTTTAATTCATTCTAGAAAGAAAAAAAATTTAATTTAGGTTCATTTTAATAATTCTTTTTTGGTGGTTACGAGGTTGGTCTAATTGATCGATCCTGTTTTGAGACAGGGTAGAGAAAATAACATATAAACTATAAAGTTTTACTGAAAAAAAACGTATGAAATATTTTATGGACTACACAAAGGAAATTTGAGAATCTTGAGATGAGGAATAGTATTTTTAATTTTAACATGAAAATTACTTTGAACATGGACTGTTAAAAACAAATACTCAATATGTATTCATTAAAAATACTTCACTAAAAATATGATTTTTTGTATGTGAAAGTCTTGTAATGTTAACTGAAAGACTGGCAAATTTCGTGAAGATATACAAACTATATTAGTTATAAGTATTAAATCTATAAAGACTTTAAACAAGTACAAAGGGTCACGTGACTCGGTCAAATTGAACAACCCTGTATTGAGAAAGTTAAACAAGGAAAAAAGTCACATGGTCAGTCAAATTGAACGAGCCCATATTGAGAGAGTTAAAGAAAAAAAATGTTCGATACTTAGGAGTTTTCAGAGGTTATGCAAATAAAATTTGAAAATTTTCAGAGGAAAAAAAAATTTTTTAACCTTAATATAAAAATCACCCTGCATTGAAAGCAGTCAACACTGTGTCTTGATATATGCACAGACATATCTTTTGTAAAAATAATCAGAAAATCTGTCATTTTTCCTATGTACAAAAGATTTGTAATGTTTATCAAAAACTTTCCAAATTTTGTGAAGATAGTATCACAAAAGATATTAAAATTTATAGCATGGAAACTCTGATGATTACTTTGTGGTTACAAGATTGATCACACCAATCAAATCCATATGGAAAGAGTTAACTCAGTAGACAATAGAATCCACTTCAGCAAGGAAATACGTAACAAAAACAGTCTGGTGTTTCTTGATATTCTCATCAGCAGACAGAAACAAACTCACCACAACAATATACAGGACAATTACTCAAACCGATACTTACATTTCCAGTCTTATCATCCACCTTCTATTAAATGCGGTATTATTAAGTTCTTGAATTAAAAAGCTGAAAACACATTAGATAAACCCCCATAAAAACTGAATTCTGACACATCAGACAGTGTTTAAAACACAATGGGTACCCTTATAATATCATCATAAACAGCACAAAGAACATTAAAAATGCAAACCCATACAACAGCCAAGAAAAACAAGACCAACACTATTTACCTCCTGTATGTGCAAAACTTTAGTGAGAAAATCAAACATATAGTGAAAAAGTTCCACATTGATGTCCACAGAAAATCTTACAGAACATTCAGGTCTATCCATGTCAAAACTAAACAAAGAACACCTGATGAAAAACACAAAAATATCATTTATGAAATACCATGTTCTTGTAAGTAAATCTATATTAGAGAAACTGGAAGAAACTTTGGGGCAAGAAATAAAGAACAAAGACTGCACAAGACTGAAGAACAAAAACATTATACTCCAGCAGAACATCTATATTGGCAAGATGGAAAATAGACTGGGACAATTGCAGACACAGTGACTCAAAAAGGTTCTGGAAAACAAGATAATTCAAAGAATTTTTCTACATCAACATGATGAAATCATTTAACATAGACTTATGCCTAGAAATCATCAGTTTGTAGCTACATTGGTCAAATCATCATTTATTGCACCAATCACATTACAAGAATACAAACCAATCATATATTCACCTCAATCTTCCCAGATAGCATATAAACCCCTGCAAAAACTGGTGCAAGCTACCTGAAGATGAAAGACTAAAAAACTTACAAAATGTCATTCTTTCCATCTATGCTACTTTCATAAATTAGTCCTCTAATATTTATTCCATGTGTTATGCTGCCATTTCATTTTTGTTTATTCCTCATGAAAACTCTGAATAAATCTATATAAAAATAAACTTTATTTGTGAGGAATTGTTGACCATGTGGTTGCTATTATTATTACACTCAAAAAGTATAAGTAAAACAACTCATACTATTGCCTAAATCTGAATTGAAATCCTACAGATGTCAATAACTGATGAAAGATTTAAAAAAAATTCTGGTGAGGTAACTAATCTGATTTGGTGACCATGTCCTTAATTAACATAACAATAACCTCACACACAATATAAAGTTAAAAATAGTGGATTTGATCAAACTGTGGGGAAACCAAATAAAAACAATAGTATCCTATACAAAATAACATATAGAAAATTATCTCACCAAAATAGCAACATGTTAACTCAAATCATACAGTCATAAAACAAACTAAGAAGAAAAATGTTCACAAGAAACTTTCCAAGGATTAAGACCAATATCATTTCAAAAATTCAATGATTCATTATGATTATCATGATGTTAAGCCCGTTTTTGATTCCACGAGTAAACAAAATAATTTCTCATAACATACATACTGTAAAATATCAGATCTTTTCTTTCACTTTACTCACAGTTGTTTTTCTTCCTCTTCTTTAGAGATATCAACATGTTGCTTTGCTGCCACGGCTGCCTGCTCTCGCAAATGGTCAGCTTGCTGTGCCTCCTTTTCAATTTCACTGAAATCTTTCCTCACTCTCTGAGCTCCCAATCCTTTTCTTGCTCCTTGCTGATTGGAATATACAACTGCAATTACTCAGATGAAGCAATAGTAAGATTAGTTGAAACAAGTGAAAAAGAAAATGAAAAAACATTCAGAGTTTAAGAGCTACCGATCCTTTTTGAGTTCAATGAATCAAAAGTCTAGCATACTTGTCACACTAATTCATTCCTACAGAGTCCAAAACATTAACCCCTAAAATTTTCAGCAAGATCATATCAATCTCATCAGCTTTAAAAAAAAAAAAAAAAAAATACTTAAACTTTTATGACACAAAACTATTTTAAGTTTGATCAGCAAAAGTTGTCTGTAACACTAGGTGCTGAATAGTAATTTAGGAAGTTGAGAAAATTTACACTTATGCCTTATCTTTTGTCTGTTCTCTATGTAGCAATGTATTCTTTACAGAATATGTAATAAAATTAAACATTTACATTAAAAAAAGTAAACAAAATAACATTTTCTTCAAAACTTTTCCCATCGCATAGCTGATCACCCTCTCTTCATTAGTAATAACCAACTCACTATATCAACATGGATATAAATAAAACAAGTTTCATTTTTCTAATGAATATATTAATTTTTATCATCATTAAATATTTGTATCATCCATTGCATCAGCCTTGCACTTACTGGTGCTTGTGTTGTACACCCCTTTCTTATCCTTGATATCCAACCACATAATTATATAGGAAGTTTCAAAGACTTGGGAACAAAACAGTGTTGGGAATTTTTAGTTTAGTCAGATAGTCATGTAATACTCAAGTGTTTTCATGTTAAATTATATTTGTTTGAAACCTACAGAAATGTCCTTAATTGAGAAAACATCAGATTAGCTTAGTTAGACTTAGTGAGCAAGTAAGAGACAGCAAAATAATCTAATGACTGGAACCCTTAATCACTAAACATTATTTTAAATTTTTTATCATATTTAAACAATGTACATAAATAAACTGGCTACTTAATTATGTCTAACTGAAATCATGATAGGTTTGAAATAAAAATATTATTTCCATTATTATGATAGCAAAACAAGTTTTTGTTATATAACACAGTTGTTAAAAGAAAGCAATTTAAAAGTATAAAATTAACCAATTACTCAATAATTTACTGTATAAAGATAAAAACCTCAAGACTTGACACAGTCTCCTACACTACATGTTTCAGTGTCTTACTTTGTCAACTTTATACACGGTAAATTAATGAATAAATGTTTTATTGTATTTTGAAACTATGGACATTCTCCTTTTCAAATATTTATAGTGAAACATTAAATCTTATAATATATGATATAAAATGTCAGAGAAGATTACTGGTAATTTGTGAAAGAGAGGATGTAACAGGTGGGCGTAGCAAATGGATCTGATTTTCTGGTTCATAAAAAATTCCATAAAAAAATAAAATTGAAGGCTATAAAAAGTAGATGTTGACTGCATTTTAGAGAGGGGTGGTAAATAAATTAGAGAAGGGAGAAAAACCTAGAGTACAAATGTCATGATTCTCATACTAAGGGAGATTAAAGTTTTATCTAAATATTCTTTTACAAAATTAAGAACTTAAAACTTATATAATATTTAAATTTGTTTATCAACTATGTTTTGATGCCAAATTTATTTGTATACATTGATAATAAAGTTGTTTAATTAAATGTTGAGCAGAACTCTGTAAAAGGTCATGACATACATACTTTCACCTATCTGTAGGGAGATGGTTAAAAAATATTAAACAAAAACAAAAAAAAACATGTTTCTACAAAATGTACAAAAGTAGTGATCCTTCAAAAGAGATCTACAATATTAAACCACGGGTAATTCAAAAAGTACTTAGAAAAAACCCAAAAACAATGTGAATGAAAATAGGAAAATTAATACCATGTTAAGTTAATGCAGTGGTTAAAAAAGTTATGAAGGCAGCACATACCTGTTTTCTATTTTTCTTATATGTAAGGGGCAATGTAGGGTGTGTGTGTGTACTAATGAAATCAGGGCTCCATTTTAACGATTTTCTGAGACAACTAAAAACTTCCTTGAACAACCAGCAGCCTGGAACAGACCTTTACTCAAAACAGTATTGCAGTCTACTGTATACTTATCCATACCCACACTACAAATGTAATGTTGACTCCAACCAAAATCATCAGTAAATTCCCTAACTACGAACTCGAAAATTTGAACACCACAAAAGTATGTTTTGTACCTTTTTTTTTGTTTAAAAAAAGATTGAAATGTTGGTACAATCTACCAAAAGGGGCTGAAAACATTAGGAAAAGTTAGCTTTTGTGGTTAGTTAATAATGCTATTTTAGCCCCTAAACTTTCTATCATGGAGAAGCCGTGCCTCTGTGCTGCTTTATTCAAGTAAATTTTGTATGGAGTTCAACTGAGCATGAATGGCTGTGTGTGTTAACACAGTATAGAGTATACAGCTCAGTTAGTTACATTACCACAGTTTTTTTTTAAATAACAAGTTACAGCTTTACAGTAGGTAAAATTTGTTTTTCAAACAGACACAACGTTTCATCACTGGTGTAATCATTTTCAAGTTTTAATGGTAAAACACATTTAGTATTTAAATCAACATTCAAACAATATAAACTCAAAATGAAACTATTACCACTCATTGTATTCCATGATGTTTGTATACATAGGTATGGGCAGGTGTGAATTTGCAATGAAAACAAATGCCAATAACACAACTATTTAGTAATATTACTTTCTAGTATAGATAATTATGACAATAAAACTGACATGGCTGTCTCAACTTCTTACTGATAAACCTTTGGTAAGAACTAAAATTATCAAATTTACAAAATGAAACTCAGAAGTTTCACTGTTAATTATCACAATTGAAACATTGACCCCACCCTTTCGATTACACACGTATAGGCCTAAGGCTAACATAAGACAGACATGATCCATCGACTCTAGGAAATACGGAAGGCTACCATGAGAAAAGTGGGAAAATCCACGAATTTAGTAGAAAACAATAATCAGTATGAAACAGAATAACAATAAATAAAATAAGTCTAGCTTTGCCTCTCTCCAGGTCAGTACAACCTATGAGTATGAACGACAATAAATAACAGTGGTGTGTGTGTATATAAGTGCAGTGCTCAGACATTATGGATGTATTATGGTACATTAGTATGTGTGAGAGTTCTAATTCAAGTTTGTAGTCTTACTACAGGCTGTACTCTACTGTACTTGGTGGACAGCCCAAACTGGTTAGAATGAAATCATTGAATGTGACTGGCCAACATCGCTGTTCTGTTTAAATGTTTTACATGTCATTGACTGTTTATTTCCTTATGATACTATGTAACATTAGCATGGTTTGGGCTTATTTTTTCCAATGTAAAGAAACTGCCTATGAAAAAAGGCATAAAAAATTAGTTGAATAAAGATGCAAAATTGCTAACTAAATATTAGTTGCAACTTTTGGAAATAAATAGGATATAAAAATATCAAAATTGTAATTGGGTCTTTTTTTTAGGGTCTTTGTACATCAATACTGTCATAATTGGATCTTTTTTGAGGGTCTATATATTTTTTTTTGGACAATCAATACAGCCTTCAGACAACCTGGAAATTTCCTTAAAAATCAAACCCTGGAAATGTTCTAAAAATAATGAAGATGACAAAACACACTGTGTTTCTCACAGTATAAATAAAATTAACATAGATACTAACCCCCTTCTTAGTTCCAATGGGTTTGCGGGCCCCAATGGTACTCTTTCTTGGTTCCTGTTGTTTTGGGGCTTCAGTTGGCGAAACACTGAGTGCTATCTCCACCTTTGGACCTGAACATATTATTAAATAAGACTTCCAAAATTTTATTAATTTTTTCTAGCTCTTCTACAGAGCACATTTCCATTTTAAAACTATGGAAAATCTATCTTCACAATTATAAATTTCATCGTGTTAAAATTTCAGAGCTGAAAATATATATATACAGTTTCATTATTAAATATTTTTTATGTCAATGTTATCTTAAAAACTCAAGTCTTCATTAAAGTGGAAATAAAAGCTAAAAATGTTGTTATTCCATTACTGGAAATATTTACAAAACAGCTCTTTCACTCCTGTAGAGATATAGAAATTTACAGCAGTGAAATAAAATGTTCAATTAAGGAAGTGTAATTGCATTCAATTTTAAGGCTTCAATATAAACTATGAAAGATGTTTTTTTTTGTTTAACAATTATATATACATTACCAAACTTGCTTAAATGGAAAAAATAAAATTGCACATCAAAATATTACTAATGCTTCAAAAAATATGGGACAAATATTTATTAAAAATAATTAGTTATACAGGCTTATCTACAGTGTTTGTAAACCTATGATTTTAACTTGATAAATTTATCTGTACAATGCATAATTGCTATACGGTGCTTAGGTAACTAACCCAGGTAAAAAGAGAATTAAAACCTACAAAAGTAACTTTGTACCAGATTAAATATATGGTAATTATTATTCAATTACAATTTAATAGTTGATAACTTAAGTTTGTAAAAGGAACTAAACATATGTAGGTTTATTGTATTAAAAATGAAAAATGTTTGCTAAAATATTCTTCAGTTATAAAAAACAAAGTATTACATTGGGCTACTGACATACCATCTTCAATAGTCTCATTTGAGACTGACCCATTATCAGTGGGTTCTGAGGATAACGTAGCATTGAGAGACCCATTTTTCACAGCATTATCTACAGTATTCTCATAAAGTCGAGCTTCAGAATGTTCTTTGAAAAAATCAACTTCTTTTTCTTCTGGTGAATGAGGTGTTTCATGATGGCCAGTGTCTATATGTAACTAGAAAGTAGTATCTTTTTTTTATTAAACAATGGGATAACATAACCAGTATTAAAAAAAAGCAGAAAACAAAATTACTTTGATTTTAGAACTGCTATAATTATCTTTTGTAATTACCTAAAGATGCTAACATTTTCCTTTCCTGAATATGTTTTTCTGATAGATACCTTTGCACACAGAATAACTTGATCCCTCAAACATCTACCTATGAGATTTGCATGACACTAGCCTTGAGCTAACTCCACCCAAAAATCATGTGTTTACTATGAACTCCACCAATAGGAGGGCAGCACAACCTCTCTGTATACTAACTTCTCTTAAGCACATGTTCTCAAAATAACTTCATTCTTAGACAAGGCAAAAATAAAGTGAACCAGAAGTGGTAAGACATGTGAGAAGATGTGTGAAGGTAAGTATCTATCAGAAATACATCCAACACATAAACTCTGGTCTCCTACAGACCAGGAGAAAAGAAACCTCCATTTGGAACTGCAGAATAATAAGACACCAGTTGAGAGATGACAGGTCGATAACTGGACACCAGTCCCTGGTTTTCTTGGGGACCACAAAGAGATGTGAGTAATATCCCAGGGTAGAGGTAAATACTCTCTTAATGGCATTCTCGCCAAGAAATCTGGGACTGCATCCTTGAGATGCTGAGGATAAACAGGGTTGGAGGGAGGAGGAAAGAAAATATGAAAAGAAAAGAGGGGAGAAAGAGAAATGGAATGGTAGGTCATGGATGAGAATCTGAAGAACTTATCTGCCAGCCAAAAATTGAGACCAAAGGCTGGCAAAGCAAGACAGATGGGCAGCCAATGGCCAGATCTCAAAGGATAGTCACTGCTGAGATGAAAAACACTGACATTGTGAAATGGGTAAATGAGAAGAAGAAGGAAAAAGAAATGGAGAGACATGGAATAAGCAGGCCTAGGAACAGAAGGGTAAAGTTGAGAAAGATGAGAAACCAAATAAAACAATGAGGACTGATGCTGGGCTGCCTTGACCCTCGTCTCCAGAGAGTCAGGGAGAGCATCATGATCCAACACTAAAGAAACCAAATAAGTATGGATAGAGCAGAAGAAGTATGAGCTAAAATGGTGAAAAGACAAAAACGAAACTCTCCAGAAAAACTCTTTAGAAGCACGATGATGCAATAAGGTGAAGATGCAAGAGGTAATGTAGGAAGGTGGTAAGAAAGAGATGAAAACATGAAAATTGGGCACTAGAAAATTGAAATAGAAGTTTAAAAAGTCCATCCCCCAAGCAGGTAAAAGAGACCCCAAAGACTGGAAATCAAGAATGACTGTAAGCCAGGACAAAAAGAGTCAAGTAGGTGAGGACAAGGAATGTGAGCACAGATGTGGAGTTATTCAAGAAACAAGTCCTCATTGACCCCAATTTTGGGAAAAGAGAGACAACAAAATAATCTTAAGCAGGGGTTTCATATAGTAAAGAATGAGATGTATCAAAAGGCACAGGAGAAAGAAAGAAAGGAACATTCCTGCAAAATCATGTCAAGAAAGAGAGTAGAAGTGTGAGAATTTTCCTACACTGATAAAGCAGTATTAACAGCAAACCCTGGTGGGGGAAACAGCCAGCAAAAATCATCATCATCCTGGTCATGTTCAAACTAAGGAACATCAGTCAAACTGAAGGAAGGAACAGGCCCTATATACTTGAGGGAACCAACAACTCATTGAACAATGGCTGTCACATCTTTCACAGACAATAAGCCTCCAGTAGTCAAAGGCTGTGTTGGTAACATTATCATCATCATCATCACAGGATGAAGCAGAAGTTACATACACTTGCAAATTCATAATATATAGGGAGGAAAAAACAAAAATTTTGTTTGTTCTTTAGTAAAGAAAAAAATTCAAGTTTCATAAACTGTCGCAATCCTCACATAATTAATAAGTTTAAAACACATTTGTTCAAAACAATGCTGAGGAAAAGAATGAAGTTATTTCAAGTGGGCTGGGGCTGAGTGGATTTAGGGTCAACCAACTTAAAGCATTATAAATGAGATGAGTTAAGCTTCAAAATTATTTAAACGACTTCCTCCTAATCTATAATGGTAGTTTTGATATTTATAAGTTTTCAAGGAGTGGTCTGGTAAAGACTGAATACAGTGATTTTAAGAATATTTCACATGTAATTAGAGACATGAATTTTTTTTATTGTCTCTTGTAATATTTTTCTTGTTGCCAATAGTAAATTTTATTATACCACTTTTTTTTTAAAGTTATAGAAATATTTATCTACTCCAAGATGTTAGGTAGCAATATTTAGAATTCACAAAAATGGTGCCCTAACATATATTGTGAAATACTTTAGATGATAAGTCATAATGAACAGTGTGAAATTTGTGCCATTTTGATTGGATTTCACAACTGCTATCATGAGCAAATAAACACATCGAAATTATGAAAATAAATACATTAATGAATATAAAACATGTTAAAATTGGTTATATATTTTATCAACAATAAATTTAAAATAAATAATCAGGGTTTCTTTTTCTTTTTTCCTTTTACTGGTAAAAATAAAAATTAATATAGAATTTATTCAAGCAATAAAACTTCTACATTAACTCAGTCTGTGAGCTTTGTATCTGCTGACAACAATGGGACAGGCATAATGTTAATTTTAATGCTAGTTCCCAGTCTTTCTACTTTTCCATTTATTAATAAATTCCATAATAAACTACAGGGTGGCCAAATTTTTCCAAGTTTACCCTGATAGTTCAATTTTTTCCAGACCTACACATAAGAAACAGTATTACACATTGATATGTTAACTTCAGAGCATACTTTATAACAAGGACATTGCAACTTTATGGTAGATAATAAAATACTTCATTTTTATTCATAGAAAAATGTTGGATCAAATCTAACACCAAATACAGTGATTTAAATAATTACCAAGAAAATAATAAGAATAACTGACCAACAGACCTCAACCTTACTTTTTGAAGGTAAGTAAGGTAAACTTACCTCCTGAGGTTGGCATTCCAGCCCCCATTGTAGTAGTAAAGCCCTAATAAGTAGCACAGTAGACAAACTATACTGGTATAAAATCCCAACCAAGTTATCTAAACTAACTAGTATAACTCCCAAACACCATCTTTTAAGTCCACTGTAACTACCAACTTTCAGATTCTACACAAGCCTTTTTTGCAATAAGGTGTTCATCTGCATAAAAGTATTGCCAAGTTGTTTAAATGACCTTATTAAAACAAAAAATACTTATTGGAAACTATCAACAAAATCTCCTTAATGTTTACTTATATTTATTTAATATGTTCTTATATTTATCACAGAATAGAGTTATTAAAATCTGGTTTAATCCATAAGGACAAAATGTTCTTAATTTCAAAATATTGAATTTCTCTTGTTGAAGTTATTGTTTCTTCATTTACAATGTCTAATATAGTTATCTTAATAAAAGTAAAAGGATGAATTATAAAATGCTTTAATTCTACGGAATACATTAAATCTATGCAAATTTATAAGTATTTGTAATGGATTTGAAGTTTGATCCACATATTCCATATTACATTCAGTACAAGTTAATAGATAAACTACATTATTTATTTTGCAGAATTAATTTGTATGAGTAATAGGATGAAAAGTGTTTGGAGCAGGACGTGAGACATCATTTTGATATTACATTTTATAATATTAGCAGCAATATAATTACTATAATAAGCTCACTAGGCTAAATTAGATTTGACACTATTTGTCTATTAGTTAAGGCAATGACACTTATCTGCATAAAGGTTGAACAATGCAATGGAAAAGTGCGACATAGTCAGCAACTATTCACGTTCTTTGAATATATGTATAGAAAATCAATACTCAAACAGTCAAATCCAAACCTGTGATAAATGACATCCAAAGGAACAAAAACAAGCCCATTTATGCATCTTTTCTTTTCTAGTTATTTGTGCCTGGATCAACAAAGTATATAGCACCCCTCTGCAGAGGGCAATATTAAAGTATTACCAATATAAAAGTTGAGTAAATTTATTGATGTCTCTCTAAACTGAGAAGTTAGGATATAAACTGTATATTAGATGTTGGAATTACATATAGATTGTGTCTCCATAACTCAGACAGTGAAGGTGCATTACTATGGAAGTTATACAAACTAAAAGAGGAGAATTCAGAATGTAGAACTGTCAAATGACATGGAGGAGGTAAGATTTGAGAATTTTTAAAATATTTTCTGTTGAAATAAAGATGTTAAAACTTAGATAATATAAGAATTTAAATTATAAACTCAATTACGATGCTAAGTCTATTAACATACACTGATAATAAAATTGTTTAATTAAATTTGGATATAACTCTGTGAAATTGTAAAACATCAGGGCATCTGCAAGCCCATGTTCAAAGGGTTAACTCATGCTTTAAAAAAACTGAACATTTATGCATTAAGATACGTGTTTAACTGTACTCAACTTTCTTCCTTTCTGTCCTTGTGGTGAATCTTGATTCTGTACATGTTATAATGAATAAAACTGTGGATAGTATTTAACTCTCACTACACGCTCGGTCAATTTGGTTGAGTTTGGATATCCCAAATTGACTGTTAGAGCTTCCATACTACAACTTCTAATACATTTTGTGTATCTTCACAAAATTTCATAAGCTTTAAGATAAAAAATTTAAAAAGACTTTTGTAGAGAAAAAATCTTCATTTGAAATAAAGTATTTATAATACAAATTTCTCCATGAATTAATGGAGTCAGTGTTGACTGCTCCAAGTACAAAGTGATTTTCATGTTAAAATTAAAAACACTTTCTTCATCTGAAAATTATAAAATTTCATTTGAATAATCTCTAAAACCTCCTAAGTAAATTCCAAACGTTTTTTTTAGTAAAAGTTGATATTTTATCTACCCTAACTCTATACAAGGTTTGTCATTTTGACTGACCTTGTAACCAACACACACAAAAAAAGAAATAAATAAATCTAATTTACTTTTTTTCTTTCTAGAATGACTTCAAATTAAAACAGGAAACTACATTTGCTTATCCTAAATACCTTAAAGCTTGTAACAGTATATATCTGTTTCTACTTAAACTTTATTGTTTCATTATCCTTTGAACTGTGTATAAATAATTCTCACCATACAAACTGTGAATCACAAGGTGAGCATGTAGCTCACATTACCTATTGAATTACATAATACACAAGCTACTCATGAGTGTACACATCATGAAAATTTATTATTATTATTATTTACCTTACCTAATCTAACCAAAGAAGTTTCTCATTTTTACATTTTAGTTACTTTTATAATAATAAATAAAGAATACACATGAAAAACAAGAAATATAGTACTTACCTGGGTCTCCTCTTTTTTGCTGTTGACAAAAATTAACCCTGTTTTTTTATACTACTGGTAGTACTGCACTAAATCTTTTAATAAAATAATACACCTAAGAACACAGAATAATAACACATAAAAAAGCAAACAACATCCTATAACTATCATAATTTTTTTTCTGGCTTTCTAACTATGCAATAAAAGCAGTTAAAAATTCAACTAAGCTTGTTGATGTATTTCTTGAAGTAATCAAATTTCAACTAGAAGCGAAATAGACAATTATCTATAAAGAAAACAACATAATATAGTAGATCACTTGACAGATTAAAGCTGATTGGTTGTTTGGCATTTTTTGGCTCAAAGCAACTAGGTTATCTGCACCAAACAACCAGTAAAAACGTAAAGTAAAATTGTCATAAAATGTAAAATTAAATCAAGTTAAAACTAAATGTCCAAAATTCAGATAAAAGATTTAAATAAAATTAAAAAGACCAATGGCTCATAAAAATTTAAAAATAAAATCAACTTGGACAGTGTCACTATTGCCAATAACACCATCCAATGTCAGGGCTAAACCCTTAGAAAATACGCGTCTAAAATGTGCCGTCGCTTAGAGTCATAACATAGCTTCCTAACTGACTTTGTAGAGCAAGCAAGCCCCTCTAATAGGGAGACATTTGCCTTATAGGTTTGTCTGACAAGAAATTCAAGATTAAAAAATGAGATACAGGTTCAGTTGAAGATTGCTGGTGAGAGTCTTCAAGACGTGGTTGTTTACCAATTAGCTGTTTTGTTACTATTTTATTTATACCCAAACACCAGCATCAGACACAACATCCACAACACTTGTTGAGCACAGTACTCAGTTGATCCTAGCCCAAGAGGACCAGCCGACTGACACTGAGGGGCACCCGAAGGCCACCTGTCTACAGGAATTCAAGGCCAAAGTGGTATGTTGCAGTGCCCCAGACACCACTCAGCCACCAGGATCCTCTTCTCCCCTTCACGGGTCACCATGCATGGCAAAAACGTGGGTGGATGCTCAGATTCCAGAGGAGGTAAACTGAAAATACAGAACCTTCCCCGGGAGGAATGCATCTTGAGGGGCAGATCAAAGCTCTGGTTTTCTATTGGTTACAAATAATATAGCATTAAACATCAAAGAGAAGTATCGGCAACTTGTGAAAGGGAGAATGTGACAGGTGGGTGTTGCAAGAGGAGTCTGATATTCTAGTTTATGACTCTGTAATTGAATAAGTTCAAAGGCTATAAAAATGAGTGATAACTATATTATGAATAATTTACATTAAATTCCATATTCCTCAGAGGTGTGGTAAATAAGTTAGAGAAGGTAGACCTAGAGAGCAGATATCACAATTCTCATACTAGGGGAGATTGAGGATTTTTAAAAATATTCCCTTATAAAATTAGGAACTTAAAAATTATATAACACTAAAATTTGATTCATTTGCTAAGTTTTATATTAAATTTATTCATATACTATGACAATTAAGTAATTTAATTAAATTTTGATTGTAACTCAGTAAAACCTCGTGATATGCAGAGAAAAGAGTAAAGTAAAAATAAAGACCCACCAACTCACTGACCAAACTTTATTGACACAGTCAGGCATGGGAAAACTTTTTTTATTTTAAGCATGATAGCCACCTTATACTAAAAAGGTATTTTAATATTAAAAGTTATAGTTTAAGCACAATAATTTGTTAAAGCATTAGAAGCCAATAGATCTAAAATTTGTGTTAATGGTGGATAAATTATGGGGGATGTGAAAAAAAAAAAGCAAAAAAAAAAAGCAAAATTACTTACTTACACACTTCTGCAGCAAAGTGAAACAACATTTTTACTAATGCTTTTATTTTTAGCCTGTCCATTCTTTTAAAACTTGAAACCTACATAGATGTTCTACTGCCTCTTTAAATGAACATACACTAACTCATATTCACTAACACAATAAACCAGAAATTTTTAATAAAAGAGGTAATCTTATGTATTTTACTAGCTGGATTTATTTATGTTGAACTTGATACTTTTATGTACTTAGCTAATTCACTGCAATGAGTACATATAACTTTCCCTCCAGAGCACTTCTATAGGCACATACATGGAACATAAAGTTTTCCAGTTTGAAATAAATAAGGAAATATTAAAACACATCTTTTTATTGTGTATTTAAAAATAAACCTTTATTTATATAAATTATTAAAAAAAACTTTAAATTTGTTCACTTTTTAGGACACTTATGTCTTACAAGACATTTCAGCGATACCAATTAATGTTGCATCAACCCTAAACTATGACTAAAATAATCATGGCTCTTCTATCAGTCAGTATGTAGGAACACACTGAAAATATCAAAAAACACCTGTTAGATGTACAACTATTCAGAAAATGATGCAATTTATGTATGTACATTAATAATTCAAACTTTTAGGCAGGATTAGAGTAAATTATTCTATGAAATCTTTCCCCCTATTTTTATTAGTATATTTTTGTGCACCAGCAATACCAAGCATATATACCCGATTCAAATTTATTACTCATCAGGATCTCTATCAACCTACCCTCAAATTGAATTTTATTAGGTAGAATTAGAGTAAATTAATCTATGAAACCTTGGATGTAGTCAAATTGAAAGACTTTGACTTCCTGAGTCCAAAACTGTAATTAGATCCCAAATCAGTCAAGAGATGGTGGAGATATGAGCTAAAAGTTTATACTTGAAAATCTCAGGGCCATTCTATGAGCTGCTGTGCCATGGCTAAACATTTCTTTTTAAGATAATACTTAAAGTAAAAATCTGTTAAATTGGTCCATTCATATGGGTTAAGATTAACGATAAAGAGGGCAGTTACTTAAAAAGTATAAATCTTTAACATGTCAATAAATCATTCAAATTCTTTTTTATTCTCAAATTAGAATTTCTTTCTTTAAAATTAGTAACAAAATTCAACAACTACACTGTGTATAGAACTAAAATTAACAAATTCACTCTTGCTCATGACTTTCAAATTATTCACAATCAAACATATACTTACCTTTGTTCCATGAGTTCTCATGATGGCTGCTGCCATATGATGCAACTTCTCTCGATAAAGCTGGGCAGCTCTACTGTTATACTTTTGTTGAGCATCTGTAGTGGAACAGTTGTGTTGTTGGAAAAATGCCAACTAAAAATTAAAATATAATATTTAGCAACAAGTATGAGTTCTAACAAGATACATCTTTGATCTTATATCATGACAAGATTTGTTAACTGATAAATTTTTTTAAATCAATACTTCAGAAATATAAATTACCATCTGACAATTTAAATGAAATGAAAAATTAATTATTAAAACTACAGAACAAAATTCACTACTACTACATGAGTATACAACAAATACAAAGTATGGTACATTTCTGTTTACTCCACCAATTTAAATATTTTCACACAAAAAAAACAAATCTTTACCAGGCTGTCAAGTGGCATTCCTTTTAAAAATGCTATCATAATGCTAAAGAACACAAGCTTAATAATTTTCAGAAAATTAAGAACTTGCTATTAACCCTATCAAGACCTGTATTTTACAGAACCTTGTAACCACCATGTAACCATGGTGGTATAAATACTATAGCTCTGAAAGTAGTTATTGTATCTTAATGAAATTTGGCAAGCTTTCAGTACGCTTTAAAAGTCTTTCGCAAACAAAAAATCAGAGTTTTTAGTTAAGTATCTTTACTAAAACTTTCTATTTAATTATATGGTGTCAGAATGTTGACTACTCTGAGTGCAAAGTGAATTTCGTATTAGTATTAAGAATACTTTTCTTCATATTAAAATTCTGTTTACATAATCCCTAAAACCTCCTAAATAAATATAAAATGTTTTTCTTCAAAAAAATAAATATTTATTTTCTGTTATTAACAGTTATTTTCTCTTCCCTAACTCTATGCGAGGTTGATCAATTTTACTAACCTCATAACCCAAAATATATTTGTTCCTTTTTTTTCTAGAATGACTTCAAATTGTAACATGAAACTTGATTTGTTTGTCCTAAATACCTCAAATATCATAATAGCATACATCAGTTTAAACTTAAGTTTTATTGTCCTTTGAACTGTGTCTAAACTAATATTGTTACCATAAAATTTGAAATTACTTAGTGGACATGTTATCCTATCAAATAACATAACACACAGGCTAATCGTGAGGTGCTTGCGAGTATACTTCGTGAAAAGTATAATTATTATTCTTTATTTTACCTAATCTTACCATACCTAACCTAAAAAGTTTCTAATTTTTTACATTTTAGTTACTTTTATAACAAAGAATACACATGAAAAACAAGAAATAACATACTTACCTGGGTTTTCTTCCTTTTACTGTCAACTGTCAATAACACTTAACCCCATTTTTTTATATTAATGGTACTGCTGCAATACATAATTTTTTATTTAATTAAGTAATGCTCCAAAGAATACAGAATAATAACATGTGAAGAGCAGAACATGTCCCATAACTATCACAATTATTCTGGCTTTCTAACTTTTTGACAATGGCAGTTAGAAATCTAGTTAATCTCGTCACTGTCTTTCCCATGGGAATCAAGCTTGAACTGGAAGTGAAACTGACAATTATCTGTGCAAAAAACAACATAACATAATATATAAATTGATAGATTGAAACTTTGACTTTCTATTGGTTATAAATAATACAATATTAAACATCAGATAGAACTTCTGGCAATTTGTGAAAGAGAGGACGCGACAGGTGGGTGTGGCAGGAGTGGTCTCATTTGTTAGTTTATGGTTCTGAAACAAAATAAGATTGGAGGATATAAAAATTATGTCTTGCCTGAGCAATAACTGTATTATAATGAGGAATTTACATTGAATTCAAACTTCTCGTAGGGGTGAAAAATAAATTAAAGAAGGAAGCCACAGATAACCAATGTCACAATTATCATACTAGGGTAGATTGATGTTTTTTTAAATATTTCCTTATAAAATTAAGAAATTAAAATTTAAATACTAAAATTTGATTTATTAACTCCATTTTTATGTCAAGTTCATTTATGTATATGTGTATATATATATTGATAATAAAGTAATTTAACTAAATTTTGAATGTAACTGTAAATGCACACTTTGACCTACCTGATGCAGAAGGGTTAATAAGTTAAGACTGAGCTGCAAGCAGAGCTCAACAATTAGTGAAATTTTCTAATCAATTAACCCTATCTCTATGGGTCTTCCTATTGGTATGGGTCAAAGGCCATGTCATCTCGTTTGTAGACTCACATTCAAAATTTTATTGAACTACTATTTTATGAATGTATGTGAATACGTTTGGTATCAAATTATAGATTATAATTCAAATTCTAGTATGATACATTAGTTAATTTTTTAATTTAAAAGTAATATAAAAAAAAATCCTAAATATCAATGTTCAAATATAAAGTCTATAGTTTCTTACAAATTAGGAACTCAAATTACCAATACTGACAAGCTAGAATATAAAATAAAAACCTCCTATCTTTTCTATTTGTTGAGATATCACTACATTTACTGAATCAAACAGTGGCCCTGCCCACCTCTGCCCATTTTTGGAAAGACTTGCTTATGTACACCTACTTATGTCTATGATGTGTGAATAACCAATCGAAAACTCAAAATATCCCCCTAGTGGCTTTCTCAGCCTCTTTGGAGTATTCGGGGGCAAACATATTCTTTTGATGTCAGAATTCAATATTTTTTTAGACCCAAATACAACTTAATTACTAAGCTTGATCAATTAGTGAAACTCTGTGGTATTGATATAGCAATTTATGATTTTTTGTTATTTTAAAATGTATATATAAAACCTAAATAAAATTATTTTATTTCACATTCTCCAAATTGACCCAACCCATACAGAGATACATTAGTAAAAATAATATATAAAATAGTTTTTTTCTAAACAATATTTGATAATTATCAGGAGGTTATAAAGATTTCACATGTGAAATCTGAAAATGTTCTGACAAAGTATTTTTAATTAAAAAATTTATATTTTTATTTTGTGACAGTAACTGATATGGCTCTTTGGATACAGATGGGTAAAAATCTGCATGTCATAACCTTTTATTTTACAGAGTTACATTCAAAATTTAATTCAGCTATTTTATTATTAATGAATGTTAATAAATTTAACCTCAAAAAATAGTTTATAATTAATATTTTTATATTATCTAAGTTTAAATTCCTTAACTTCAAAAAGAAATATTTAAATAAAATCCCAATCTTGACTTGTCCATCCATGTGACACAATTGCACTCCAAACTGCCCATTTGAGATTTTCTTTCTACTCTTATTTGACTTTCTGAGTGTCCAACTAAATTAAAAATACATACTATAAATCTTGACAAGACAAAATATAAAGTTAGAACAACCAGTCTTCTTACTTTACTAAGATATAATCAAAAATGTAAAACCCACATGTCATGCCCCTCTCATATCATTCTGTCCCTCAAAAAATGTCAGTAGTTTTCTTGACATTGCTATTGGATATTTTCAACCAGCAGAGAAAGCAGATTTTATTACAAAATTCCTTACACAGGTGATTTTGTTTTGCCACTTGTAAATAGATGGTGTTCAGCTTGAACAGCAGACAGAATGAAATTATGCATACTATAACTCTGAATGTATGAAGTATATCTTCATGAAATTTAGCAAGTGTTTAACAAACATAAGAAGTATGTTGTAAACAAAAAAAAAAGCAGACTTTTTAATAAATAATTTTTACTAAAGATTTGTCTGTGAATTTATGAAGCCATCACTGAGTTAGTCCGAGTCAAAAAAGATTTTCCTATTAAGAAGAAAAATACTTATTTTCATCTTAGTTTCATATTTAATTTGCATAACCTCTAAAATGTCCTAACAAATATTAAAATAAATGTAATGGTGTGTGTAGGAATGTGTACTAATAGATTAATCAAGTGTAATCAATTAATCAGTCCGTCAATTAATCCTATGTGCAAGTGTAGGGGTTAAAGTTCGCATGACAACCTTTTACAGAATACCATTCAACATGCTATTACGTATTTGATGTAAGAGTTATCAACTATTCAATTTGCTCTGTACTGCTTATTTAGCAATAGTTCATAGTATAAGAGAGTAAATCCCAGATAAAATACATAGGGATACTGAAAATACTATAGCTATGCATTTCAGAGGTTCCAAAGGTTATGCCAATATAATATACAAAATGTATAATGGAGAAAGGTATTTGTGTTCTTCACATGCCCATCACCTTTTCCTCTGACTTGTCAGACCAACTCAGACTAATGTCTTCAATCTCGAGTACAAATACTTTTGTAACATATCTAATTTTTTGTGTTTAACAGACTTATACATTTTACTAAAAGCTTGCCACATTTGCTACATGTAGTAAGTTCAAAATTAAAGTTAACATTCCTTCTCTAATATTGAACCAATTTTGTGAACATTCAGTTAGTCGATTAGCAAATTCCACAAACTGTCCAACTCTAGCCACACCTATACTTAAACCTATATATAAAATAAACAAATATATCAAAGAACTGTGCAAGTTGACAACTTAATAATCATATTAGATGGCTGTTGCTGTGCTTAGTTATTCTGTCATGTACATGACATATATGTTACACAAGTTCAAGAAAATTCACTAATTGAAAGATAATCTATTCAATTGAATATTGTACCTTCTATGCTTAGTTTTATTTGATATAAAAAATTACAAGTTACAATGTATGAAATAAAATATGACCACTTGATTATGATCTCACAAGATAAAAATTAATAAAAAACAGCACAGTAGAACAGCTCTGGTCGCTTTAGAAGCAAAAGAATATGTATGTTATTGTTACAGACATTTATTATACATGCAACAGTTCAATTTTCTATAAGAACTTTAGCACTTACTGCATTTGCATTGCCTCCAACCTGCATAGCTCGTAGCTGAAGCCATGTCCAATTGGTATCTAGCTGTGTTGATCTTACAAACGATAAATGCACCCCAAGTGATCGATGAACAGCCGAACAGTCCATACATATAAAGACACCATAAGTCACACTAGCCCAAGTAGGATTCTTTGCATTACAGTCAAAGCATACCTAGTTTTGAATATTCATCAACACTTGTGAGAAAACCTGCATCAGACTAATAGTAAAAACTGTTATAAAACCAACACTTATTTTATTTCTGTAACCCATTATTTGGTATGGAAATCATGTCATTCCTAGACCAATTTAGTTAGGAAGCAGGTTCAACTGAGAGTTTCAGAAGATGGAAGTGAAAAACAAAGATAAAGATAGAGAGGCTTTGAAGACAAGAATTTACACAATCTAAAGGTTTCCTTTGAGTTTATAAAGAAAGAGGACAAACAATTTAAACACTGCAGAGGGTAATACAGAAAATTAATGTGGCTGGCAGTACTCAAGCACAAAGGAGGCAAGTTTCCACTTGCTGAAAATTTGAGCTGGCGGTTTTATGGGGTGCAGACAAAACTAATAGATACTTTTAAATATTGTTACATTTATATGCAACTACTCAGATGGATTTTGAGGTAAGACAAAATATCAAAAAACATGATACAAAGAAGAAGTCTAAGCACATTTTTTGTTAGTTTGTTATATTTTTACTCTTTTTTTTTAATTTTTGCCCTTTTTCTCAACACAATTTTTAACATTTGTCAGCTGAAAGTTATACATCCAAAAGCAAAAACTGCTCCCAAATTTAGCCTGTATGACCCCCATACACTGCTACCATAGACTATTTGTGTCCATAACAAAACTTTCTTTTTTATAAAAAATTAAAGTTTTACTATTTTATATAATGGATGAAGCCCTCAAGTTATGGAAACAGAAGTGTATTTGTACAAGTAACTAATTCAATAGATTCAAGTCTGGCAACCTAAAAGAAAGAGGAAAGAATGACCCTAAGTACTCTGAAAGGCTAGCATGTACTGAATCATATAAGAAACATGCCAACATTTTCTCATTGGATCCTAAAGTTCAAGATGTTTTGGAGAAGAAAGATGAGATTAAGAACTAGAGAAGATTTCTCTTTCTCTATTTTATGTCACAATATATGATGTTGCTAATGTAAAATTAAGAAATTAATAGCCATTTGCAAAAAATTACTTGGAATTCGTCCTCACGTAAAATGTGGGCATGATATTTTAAGTAGGGTGATTAACAGATATATACATTGATTAGGTCTGTGAGAGAGATTAATAGGTAAAGGTGAGTTGTTTACTTGTGATGAGCTCTGTTATTACATGTTGGGATTAAAAGTATTTGGAGAATTACTTTATTATGGATTATTTAAAGTTAGAGGTCAGGGAACCTCAGAGAGATTTGGAATCTTGTCAAAAACAAAGCAAATAAATTAGTTTCTTTATACTACATGTATAAGTCTGCAATAAGCTGTTAAAGATGAAGATTCTGGTTGCTCTTACATATGAGCTGGAACTGGCATTACTGAATCTTCATTAAATTTAAATCATGAAGATGGTAAACTCATGTTAGGAGGTTTTAAGATATGCTGAAGGAACTGTATGAATAAAAAGGAAGAGTTACATTTGTAAGAACTGGGTTGAAAGCTTATGAAATGTCTTATATCATAGGATGCTAAAATGCAAAAGTGTTTGGGTTAAGGTTCTTGAAATTTATTTTATCTTATTTTTTACATTTCCTATAGACTTCCTAATCAGCTTCTGGGCAATGAACAACATGTATGGGCAGATTAATTAAAACAAAAACATAACTTATTATTATGAAAGACTTTATGAGAAGATGATAAGTCAATCTTCTTTGCATATTGCATATGACAACGGTTTGTTATCAGTCATAAAACTAAATACTTTTTGTCTAAGACCAAATACTTTTTATAAATTCAGTCATGCTTATCTGTTAAATATTAATACAGACAAATGGTAAACACTATAACAATTTATTAGAGATTATAATATTTAAATGGCAAGATTATGTCAAAATAGTAATAAAACTAAGACAGAGGAGATTAAAACATCATACATAGTTAGAAATTACGAGCATGCAACACGTTCACCTACACTGCAATCAAAAGTTGACTGTGCGTATTGTGTACCATACACACAGCTACTAGGCAAGTTATATCAGATGGAAAGAACAAGACTTAATATTTAAAATTCAGTTTTAAAGAAATTTTAATAAATTTGGTTGTGTAAAATGTATTAAAATTAAGAAGGCTTACAAACCTGTGTTATGTACTTAGGATGAAAGGAAAATTATGAATTTTTCCCACAGAAACACAACTGTGGAACATTAATTTAAAATCTCAGTAACATAAAACTAAAAGCAAGCATATCAAGTACGACTTTTTAAATTTTATTATACTGTTGGCCTCAGATGTTACTGTGCCTAAACATTTCCATTATTTCATGTCCTTCTTTCCATTCTAAAATAAATATACACAAATTAGGCTTATAGTTATACATTCTTTATTTACTTTTTGATATCGCACACTTAGATTATGTGAAGTTTAAGTTTAAAACTTAACCCTCAAGTTATTAAACTTCAATTTTTTATACACCACTTTATAAACTTGTTTTTAACATTTAGTTTTAGTGGTATTAACTTCGTTAGGGCTATTTTTACTGTAAATGTAATCATGTAGTGTTAGGCCTTAAATATACCCAATGATTACTCAAGCTCCAAAAGTTTTGGCTTAAACCTACAGTTCGTTACTTGGAATAGTGTATTAATAATGCTTGTTTGTTACATGTAATGTATGACGTGGTTAACTTTGTGACGTTAAATTTCACTCTTACTGTTAAACTTGCGGTTACACGTTTCAACAGCTTAACATATTAAAAAGCAACTTTCGTTCTCCTACCCGTATGCAATAGGTACCATTTAATCATCATAACGTCAAAAATGCGAAAAACAACTCATTACTACCTTATTAGATTGAAGTGCCCTTAACCTCTTAAAAATTGCTCCAATATCTGACTTATTCGGTTGAACAACTGCCATCTTTAACTACTTCTCGTTTCGCTGACGTAAACTGATTTTGTTTTCCGAACACTACCTCCACACAACATTTTATAGTGATTATCCGTCATAAATTGTATTTATTAATTTACCTATTTACCTATTTTACATAATTTACCTATTTATTTTTGTCATGATCACAGTTCAGTGCTCAGAAAAATATTTCCTATTTATTAAATCATAGATCAGCAACATTTCAGTGTAAAAATGATTAAAATAGGAATTTTAGTGAATAAAGAAATAAAAACATATTAAACAATCTATCAATTAAATTGAAATTGATGCTCTTTAAAACTTTCAGACGTTAATAGTTATAAAATAAGAGAACTTGTTTGTTTGTTTGTAATTAAGCACAAAGCTACACAATGGGCTATCTGTGCTATGCCCACCACGAGTATCGAAACCCGGATTCTAGCGTTGCTGTGCTACTGGGGGGCAATAAGAGAACTAAACCAAATACAAAAGGGTACCATTTTGTAATTCATAGCTAAGGTTATATGCGCATCATCTTATGTACGTGATTATATAGCTTCCACTCCGGCGGCTCTGCAGTAAGATTGTGTTCTTGTTAAGCTAAAAATCTGGGTTCGAAACTAGCGGTAAATAAAACGCAGAAAGACCATTTTGTAGCAATGCGCTTAAACAAAATAAAAAGTGTTTATACTAAATAACGTTGTAAACTTTAAAATTATACAAGTCTTGTGGGAATAGTGGGTGATTTATATTAAAACAAATAACGAATAATTATTATTAAAAGATACAATAACAACAATATTTACATGATTTTAATTATTACAGTGTTTCGATCCATAGCATTGAGTCATCATCGGATAACAGTTACATTCAACAAAGCAAGTCGAATTTCAGAAATTTTTCACAGACTTGTAATGGTGAAGACAAAGTCCATAAGTGGTGCTAAATTAATTTTATAATGAAATGAGATGGATAAAATATTAATACAAAGAGGACGATCCTAAAAATTTACCTAGCGTTGGCTTATATGAATGTATATTGTTGCGTCATCGAGATCATGTGATTCTCACGCTCTCTACTTTCTAGAATTATCCTGTACTTTGGCGAATGCTCTATTATTTACTAGATAGTGTAGGCTGGTATATAAAAGAGGGGAATGTAGTGTGTGTATAGATAGTGAGTAATTGAAGAAGTATTATTGACGTTCGTTGTTAT